GTTCCAGCGCCCCCCAGGGGGCGGTATCGCCCACTTTGGGAACCTCTGGTCTAGATCCATCCTCTTTGGAACTCCCTTTCAGGTAGTTGAAAGCAGCTATCAAATCCCCCCTCATTCTTCTTTTCTGCAGACTAAACTATCTCAGTTCCCTCAGCCTCTCCTCATAAGTCATGTGCTCCAGCCCCCTAATAATTTTTGTTGCCCTCCGATGGACTCTTTCCAATTTTTCCACATCCTTCTTGTAGTGTGGGGCCCAAAACTGGACACAGTACTCCAGATGAGGCCTCACCAATGTCGAATAGAGGGGAATGATCATGTCCCTCGATCTGCTGGCAATGCCCCTACTTATACAGCCCAAAATGCCATTAGCCTTCTGGGCAAAAAGGGCACACTGTCGACTCATATCCAGCTTCTCATCCACTGTAACCCCTAGGTCCTTTTCTGCAGAACTTCTGCTTAGCCATGCGGTCCCTAGTCTGTAACAGTGCATGGGATTCTTCCGTCCTAAGTGCAGGACTCTGCACTTGTCCTTGTTGAGCCTCATCAGATTTCTTTTGGTCCAATCCTCTAATTTGTCTAGGTCCCTCTGTATCCTATTCCTACCCTCCAGCGTATCTACCACTCCTCCCAGTTTAGTGTCATCTGGAAACTTGCTGAGGGTGCAGTCCACGCCATCCTCCAGATCATTAATGAAGATATTGAACAAAAACGGCCCCAGGACCGACCCTTAGGGCACTCCACTTGATACCGGCTGCCAACTAGACATGGAGCCATTGATCACTGCCCGTTGAGCCCGACGATCTAGACAGCTTTCTATCCACCTTATAGTCCATTCATCCAGCCCATACTTCTTTAACTTGCTGGCAAGAATGCTGTGGGATACTATATCAAAAGCTTTGCTAAAGTCAAGGAATAATACATCCACTGCTTTCTCCTCATCCGCAGACCCAGTTATCTCGTCATAAAAGGCAATTAGGTTAGTCAGGCATGACTTGCCCTTGACGAATCCAGGCTGACTGTTCCTAATCACTTTCCTCTCCTCTAAGTGCTTCAGAATTGATTCCTTGAGGACCTGCTCCATGATTTTTCCAGGGACTGAGGTGAGGCTGACTGGCCTGTAGTTCCCCGGATCCTCCTCCTTCCCTTTTTAAAAGATGGGCACTACATTAGCCTTTTTCCAGTCATCCGGGACCTCCCCGGATCGCCATGAGTTTTCAAAGATAATGGCCAATGGCTCTGCAATCACATCCGCCAACTCCTTCATCACCCTCGGATGCAGCGCATCCGGCCTCATGTGCTCCTGTGAGCTGTAATACTATCCCAAACACCACAGATGTTCACAAGCCCTATTCCTCTTCTGCTTCTACTTCAACATAACACAGAAGCCCGAAGACATCCAGCACCAAAGGAGATGTAGATCTCCCTTACCCACTGGGAGATGGAGTTCCTATCCTAAGCCTTGCACAGTGTGAAGGCAAATCTGGCACTGACCATTGCTGCCCAGAGCAAGCGTTGTGCTGCACCAGGTACTGCTCATACTACTTTCGCTGTGACAGTAACATGCACACCAGTATTAAAAAAAAAAAAAAAAAAAAACCCAAACAGCAGACCACTCCATCGCTGAGGAAACTGACCCAGAACTAGTCAGTATAGAACACCATGGTGCTGAAGACATCAGTGAAACAGAGTGCTTTAATGTCATTGATGGGGTCACCGTACCTGTATACTTCTCTGCGCTGGCAATAAGACCAGTACTGGAGTTCCCAACGTTAGATGCTTTTGGAGGCAACGGAGAGACCAGGTCCATCTCATATTCCAACAGCACTGGCTGTACACCTGACTGAGTAGGACTCCCCAGAACACTGTGCCCCCTCTCAGTATCCTCTGAGGGTCATAGAATCATAGAATATCAGGGTTGGAAGGGACCTCAGGAGATATCTAGTCCAACCCCCTGCTCAAAGCAGGACCAACCCCAACTAAATCATACCAGCCAGGGCTTTGTCAAGCCTGACCTCAAAAACCTCTAAGGATGGAGATTCCACCACCACCTTCGGTAACCCATTCCAGTGCTTCACCATCTTCCCAGGGAAATATTTTTCCTAATATCCAACCTAGACCTCCCCCACTGCAACTTGAGACCATTGCTCCTTGTTCTGTCATCTGCCACCACTGAGAAGAGCCGAGCTCCATGCTCTATGGAACCCGCCTTGAGTGCTCCTTTAGCATCTCAATTCTCCAGTCGCCCTACTGGTCTTTAGCAGGCTTCTTGCTTCTGATGTACTTAAAAAAATTTTGCTATTACTTTTTGAGTCTTTGGATAGCTGTTCTTCAAATTCTTTCTTTTTTTTTTGGCCTTCCTAATTATATTTTTACACTTCATTTGCCAGAGTTTAGGCTCCTTTCTATTTTCCTCACTAGGATTTAACTTCCAATTTTTAAAGGATGCTTTTTTGTCTCTCAGTGTTTTTTTTTTTACTTTGTTGTTTAGCCCTGGCTGCACTTTTTTGGTTCTCCTACTATATTTTTTAATTTGGGGATACATTTAAGTTGAGTCTCTATTATGGTGTATTTAAAAAGCGTCCATGCAGCTTGCAGGGATTTCATTTTTGGCATTGTACCTCTTAATTTCTGTTTAACTAACTTCCTCATTTTTGTGTGGTCCCCGCTATGCCTTGGTTCAGGCCTCTAGGTCAGATTCAAAGCTTTGGTAGAGCAGTCCTCCAGGTGATATTCCTCTTACCTATCTCTTAGGAAGGATACTGCTTGCTAGTGATGAAGAGCGGAATCTGTACAGACAATCACTTGAAAAAGAAAGTAGTTATTTACCCTACAGCACCTGTAGTTCTTTAGGTGTATTGTCCACACAGGATCCTTATTGGCAAGGGAACTAAGAGGTGGTTGAGGCCATTCTGCCCCTTATAACCTCAGCTGTGAGGGGTTGCAACAATGCCCAGGGTATAGGCATGGCCCTGACATACACTGCTATTCCAAAGAATCCGATCTTACATGCATGGGGCACATGAGCACCAAAATCGGAATCCTATGCAGAGAACACATCTCGAGCTACAGTTAATGTAGGGTAAGTAACCATTCTTTATGTGAGCAAAGGATTGTTGATAGGCACTCATACAGTGATGCAGCCTGTTTAACTACAAGGGTGAGATAAATTGTCCTATCAGGTTCATTCATGCAAAGAGTAAAATAGTGTCAACAGGACAGTCCCTCAAGTTAAGAGTGATTATTTGGATTAAGGAAACTACACGGGGTTGGCAGTCCCTATGACGTTAGTGGTGCAGATTGCCCTTTCTTTGGTCCCACTTCTCTTAGATGAAGGGTTATGATCCCAGCCCTAATACCCATTGTTGGTGCTGCTGAGATTGGAGTTTGGAGGGTAGTTCGCAGCCATTAATTTATGTATTTACAGTCACAATGGTGTTTGTAAAAAGAACAGGAGTACTTGTGGCACCTTAGAGACTAACAAATTTATTAGAGCATAAGCTTTCGTGGACTACAGCCCACTTCTTCGGATGCATATAGAGTGGAATAAATATTGAGGAGATATATATATACACACACATACAGAGAGCATGAACAGGTGGGAATTGTCTTACCAACTCTGAGAGGCCAATTAAGTAAGAGAAAAAAACTTTTGAAGTGATAATCAAGATATCAAACTGTCTGTACTGGGCTAAGAAGTGTGAGAATACTTACAAGGGGAGATAGATTCAATGTTTGTAATGGCTCAGCCATTCCCAGTCCTTATTCAATCCTGAGTTGATTGTGTCTAGTTTGCATATCAATTCCAGCTCAGCCGTCTGTCGTTGGAGTCTGTTTTTGAAGTTTTTCTGTTGTAAGATAGCCACCCGCAGGTCTGTCATTGAATGGCCAGACAGGTTAAAGTATTCTCCCACTGGTTTTCGAGTATTATAATTCCTGATGTCAGATTTGTGTCCATTAATTCTTTTGCGTAGAGACTGTCCGGTTTGGCCAATGTACATGGCAGAGGGGCATTGCTGGCACATGATGGCATATATCACATTGAATCATAGAATCATAGAATATCAGAGTTGGAAGGGACCTCAAGAGGTCATCTAGTCCA